CCATAATGATTCTATGATTCTATTTCTGTCCATTTGAGCAGCGTTGTTTTCAGCCCTGTGTTTTAAATATGGGGACAGGTCTATAATTAGAAATAAGGACCCAACCTCTGCCATGTGAGGCTAATAGCACTGAAAATACTAGTATTGCTGTGTGAACAGGCTGGCTTCATTGTCCCCCATTCCCTCATTCTCCTTTTTGGGTTAGAATTTGAGCTATTAGCCCAAAACCACCTGTGCTAAAACCTGTGTTTGATGCCTGTCTGCAGCTGTCTGTGAAGACGAGGACGGTGGTTTATGGCTCATGCATGATGGAGCGGTGCACTTGTTGACTCCATATAACAGCCCGTTAAGGACACCGAAACAGGGTGCTCTCCTTAGGTTAGGTGCTTGATTCCTTGTTAATTCATTAGGCGCTGTGGTGGCAGACACATATAGCTGACTGCATAAGGATTTTGCTGTATGCAGTCAAAGATATTAGATGTCTCATAACACGTGTGGACCATGCTGGACTTCTGTGTTGAAAACTAAGCATGTGTTCCTGTGTTTTGCTTATTTAAACTAGGGTATATGCCTAGTGCAGCTCAAGGATGAGCTGAAAGTCTAAGTGGAGCAAAGTCAAACCTAGGTAGCATTGTGGTAGACTGTTCTTGGTAAGGGTTAAAGTTGAAAGAGGGAAGGAAGAAGGTTTCTGATTTTGTGGTTGTGGCTGTTGTTTTGTTTTGAGCGAGTTGTGTGTATATGAACACGGATGTGTGTATGCAAGTCAGTACCCAAGATCCAGGTGTCTGGTTGCTGGTATTTGTGATCTCTACATACGCACACTTGTGCTTGCATAAACCTTTCCTGGTGGTTAGAAATCTAGGGCTTCCAGCGCTATTTCCCCTTGACATCCATTTTACAAAATAGTCTGCTCTGATCTCTCAGAACAGTGATTTTATAATGGTGTGTTTCCATGCACTGGAGGTCCTTGGATAAGCCCAGGCCTTTCTCAGTGTGCTTAGGAGGTGACTTTATGCAGGCATCAGGGGAAGTTGATTATCCTGTGCTGAAACAGCGGTCTAATAAATGACAGGGATATTCTTCCCTTCTAAGTTAATGATCTCAGGCGACTGGTAGCCTGAAGGTCTATCTTTAAGTTGCATTGCAAGAGCCATTTTTTTTTTTGTGTGTGTGTACATTCCAAGTTTTTACATAATCTCAAAAAATATGCTTTTCCTTTCTCTTAGAGGGTGAAGGACCATATACAAGAAACTGGAGGTTTGGGATCTGCAAAGAAGACATTTAACATCTCTGTTAGTGGAGGTAAAAAAAAAAAAAAAAAACCAAACCTTGATATTGATTTCATTGTATGTGCTGATATTTATGAATACTGATGTTGGTACTGGTATTCCAGTGAGAAGGCAATTTCTGCACAGATTGTGAAGGATTATCATGACTTGCCTCTAACTCCATTCACTTTCACTTGAAAATACAGCTTCTTTAGGGATGGAAAGGAAGTATACAGCACTCATATACCCCATTGCTGAAATGCAGCTACTCTGAGTGATTTCTGATGTAAAATAACACACACCTGATCAGGCATGAAGTGCTAACATTGCTGTTTGTATGCAGGGTAGCTGTTTCAGAGGTCATTTAGACCTCTAGTATTTACTAGCATCTTGCTCTGCAGCAAGGTAAGTGATGCTTAACAGTACTCTTAAGTGATGTGGCTGTGACCATAGTGTGTTTGAGGCTGGAGATGACCTTGAGCATCCCTGTAAGTAGCTGCCTGGAGCAGGCTGATTTGCAGAGAACTTCATGCAGTGTTGTACACTTGGACAGAATCACCTGTTGTTACATATTTAAGTGACTTGTGTGCCATCATTTGAGAATGTACTCCTCTCTTGTTGCAGATGTGGACGGTTTGATTACCCAGGCTTTGCTGACGGGTAACTTTGAGAGCGCAGTAGATCTCTGCTTGCAGGATAACCGCATGGCTGACGCCATTATCTTGGCCATCGCAGGCGGACAAGAGCTGCTTTCTAGGACACAGGAAAAGTACTTTGCTAAGATGCAGAGCAAAATTACCAGGGTATGTTTTTTCAGTTAAGAAACAACATGCATGTAGGCATTTGGCAACTCCCTTTTCCACCTTAAAAGTTTTCTTGCTGTTTCATAGGTTTGTTTCTGTGAGAAGCTAGTAAGTATTCAAGTCATCCACAAAATCTCAGAGCAGAAGGATTTCTGTTATTCTCTTTTAATGCGTTGATAAGGAGGAAAGAGGCACGCTACCTGAATATCAGTACACAAGAAGAGTATTCTTTACTTTGTATCCAGTGTCTCTGAGTTGTATATACACTAGTAGATTCTCACTGATTAGGATAAGTATCTTAAGCAGCACACCTTTCAGTCTGTTACCTTGTCACATTTTTCAAGAGTAGCACACGACCCATGCTCAGTGTCAGCAGCGTTATGTTGTTTTCTGCCTGTGATCAGTCTTAACAGATTTTGCTGATGCTTTGTTTCACTGCATGCACAGAAGAGAGCTAAGTATGCCCAGGGTAGATCAATCACCCTTTGTCTAGGAGACAAGGTGTTATGGCTGGCTGGTTATTACTCTTTGCAGCTTTTTGCAATGCTAGGGATTGCTGATGCTGCTCGTTTGAATCTTTTTTTTCTTTACTACTGACATGAGAAAGTAGCAACAGGAGGATGAAACAGGAGAAGTGGCCTTAAAAGAGCTCAGGACTGCTCATTTAACAAGGATGGCTACTTTTAGAGGAGGGAAGAAAGTTGCTTGTGGTTACTTTTTAGCAGTCCATTGTCAAAGAAGGGAATTTTATACAGTAGCAGGAGGCAGCCTATAAAATGGGCATGGGCTTAAGCGCTTTCCTGGAGCAGGACTGAATGCTGCAAAGCACAGTCACTTGGAGAGTCAGGGCACGCAGCACCACAGTCTAGGGTCTGTAAGTGGGATTTTGCTGGTCATCGCCTGTCATCCAGTTTGAGATAAGTACAATTGGCATTTCTAGTAGTGGACAAGTGAAAAGAGGAAAATCTCAAGAATTAAGACTCTGCAGGATTTCTTCACCCACCCCCAGCTCCTTTCCTGCCTCTGGCCTAATAAGAGGATGGAGAATTTTGTACTGTGTGGGAAATTTCTTCACTGTAGTTCATCCTTAGGGAAAAGGTATTTTTATGGAGAGCTGACCAGTTATCTGTGCCTGAGCTTAACTACTGAGTGTTGACCTTGTAGTTAGGACCTTGCATTTGTTGTTCAGGTGTGGTTTTTTCTTTTCTGGTCCCAAACTGCCCGCTTACTGCCTGTTCAGCTGTTTCTGAGCTTGAAGTCTTGGTATGACAAGGGCTTTGTTCACTAAATAGCAGCACAGCTGCCAAATCTGTCTTTTGTCTGAAGCAAAATAACCGGAGGCAGAGTTTGAGACGGAAGAAACTGGAATTTCATTTTGAGGGCTTGTGGACAGGCAGCCTGTGTGGGTGCAGGGTAGGGATACTGCAGCCAGCTCAGGTTGAGATTGCTGCCAACTTGTTTCTTCCTTTGAGCAGCCTTTTCAATTGCCCTTCAGTGGTCAGCCTGAGGGCAAGACCTTAAAGCTGAATGAAACAGTTTGACAAACAAAATTCATACCCCTTGGTGGGTGTTGTGTAGAGGATTCATAGCTAAATACTTGGTATGTTATCTTAGTCTGCAAAAACAGTGCTGAAAACCATCTGGAGCAATCCTAGCTTGTGGAGATTTGTGCATTCTTTTCTTGCACATTTTGTAGCAAGAATAATTGGCCTGTCTCTGTTATCTGAGTTTGTTTTGTGATTTTCACTGAACTCCTTTTGAAGCAAAATGTACTCTTGTGCAGCTGTTGAATTGCAGTGCAGTATCTGCTGTGACCCTGGATAGAGTGCAGATGAGTACACTCGAATAGATACAAATTACACTGTATCCTAAAAAAAAAGGAAACCTTACCAAGATCTTAACTATGGTCTCTCTCTTTCTGGTCTAGCTCATCACTGCAGTGGTAATGAAGAACTGGAAAGAGATTGTGCAGTCTTGTGATCTGCAGAATTGGAGAGAGGCTTTGGCTGCTGTGCTCACTTACGCCAGGCCAGATGAGTTTGCAGCCCTTTGCGGTAAGGACACTTTACAGACTAGATGTCATTTATTCCATTTATAGCAAAACTACACTTTGCCATGGTTGTTTTCCTTCCAGTAAACTATTGTAATACCTCGCTGGCTTCTTTGACGGATAATACAGTTCTTCAGTCCTGTTGCAGAGGAGGAGAGGAAGTTCTGGGGTACCATGTTCCCAGTATGTTCCCTGATTTTCTGGATGTGAAACCCAGACCCTTGTGAGCATCTGTGTCTTGGCATCACCTGTGTAGTGCACAGCTGCTGGTCTCTTGCCATTTCCAGATGGGTAACAGTGAAGTTGATGTGACAGGTGTCTCAGCCAAGGGACCAGTGTCTTGGAGTGTTTCAGGGAAGCACTTTGCTCTTCTTTCCCAAGGGCCATTTTGACTTCTCAGGAGTCCTCTTTCCCAGGCAGTGAGCGTGCCTGCCCTCATGTGTGCTGCATGGCAGACAACTGGCTGGATTTAATCCATAGGGAAGTTGTATTGCCAGCAGCTGTGTGCCTGACACCCCATGCCCCTCAGACGCCAGCCATGGTGTCTGGGGAGCTGTATGACTCGCTTCAGCACACGTTGGCCCAGAGTAGTATCACAGCTTTCTTGCTCACAGTTCCTTGACCGATTGTGCTCCTGAAATGAGGGGGACTACAAAAAGTGGGTGGCGGAGGGGAGAACTGAACCCTGGCCTCTTGTCCTTTGTCATGTCGGCAGATGGACTGTCCCCTCAGGTTTGCAGGCATTTGACAAATCCTTGCTGCCATGCTATGCAACGACCTGAAAGGAGGTTGTAGCCAGGTGGGGGTCAGCCTCTTCTCCCAGGCAACTCATGGTGGAACAAGAGGACGTAGTCTGAAACTGCGCCAGGGGAAGTTCAGGCTAGAAATGAGGGGGCATTTCTTCAGAGAGGGTCATTAGGCATTGGAATGGGCTGCCCGGGGAGGTGGTGGAGTCCCCATCCCTGGAGGTCTTTAAGATAAGACTGGACGTGGCTCTTAGTGCCATGGTTTAGTTGACATGGTGGTGTTGGGGCAAAGGTTGGACTTGATCCCAGAGGTCTCTTCCAACCAAATTGATTCTGTGGTATTAACTGCCTCTCAAGTGCCCTGGGCTCCCATGAGATAGTCGGTGCTGGACACCACAGTATGTCCTTACCAATGGAGCCCAGAGGCCCTCACTGTGCTGAGCAGAGCCACAACAGGTGTTGCAGGCTTCCCCAGCCTTGGCGGTGATGGAGGGATCACGCAAGTGATTCACCAGTATTTCTTTGTTCCTATTTTTCCTAGATCTCCTGGGTAACAGGCTGGAGAGTGAGGGCGACAGCCTTCTGCAGACACAGGCTTGTCTCTGTTACATTTGTGCCGGCAACGTGGAAAAACTCGTTGCTTGTTGGACCAAAGCTCAGGATGGAAACAGCCCCTTATCTCTTCAGGTTGGTAATTCTGTTAAGAAAGATGTTGGAAGTAACACACTGCAATCGTTTGGCGCTTAAATCAAATGATCTAGTGTAGAGCTTTGATAGTGTCTGGCAGCTGCATGTATCTCAGGATGCAAGCCTTTTCCTTCTGGAATGGGTGGCTTTCGTAGAAATAACACATAAATATGATATTAGAAAATGTGTTGTGAAGCATGATGGCCCTCGTGTCTGCTTTGTTCTTTGGGTAGTCATGCTAATACGCTTCTTGTGTAAAAAGGTAGTTGTAGGGCTTAGAGTCTTTTGGTAAAGAAGGGGCTTTGAACGCTTGCATCTTTTGCAATAGGGCAATACTTGGATGTTTTTGCTTTTGGAAGAGATGACTTTGATGTTCAGGGGAAGAAGTCTAATAAATGAGAGTTAAATCTGGAGAGAAAACTGTAGGAAGGCTGTCATGAGAGTTTTCTCTAGGGGCTTGCACATACAGGGTTTGGTTTCCAACGATGAAATATATTGCATATAGCAAATACCTTGGGGGAATAGGATTGATGACAGTGAGATGAAGCAGTTATGGAATAATTTATTTTATAGTATAATCTTGGGTTCCTCCATCTGTTCAGGGCCTTTGAAGGACCAGTTTTAGAAAGTACTTAAAATAATGTTACCTGGCAGTGCTGTGAGTCTCTGTTTAGGTAACTGAAGGAACTGGAGCATACGTGAGTTTTACTTCACATAATTAACTCTATCCAGTTTTGAATTACCAAAATTACTTTCCAGGCTCTTGATTGTAAAGGCTTCGTTTACAGATTTACCTTCAGTTTGAATTTGCATCTTGATTGCATTGCTTTGCTCTCTCGGACACCAAAATTGAAAAATATTGTTGGAGTCATAGTTAGGCTGCTTGTTTACTATGATGTGGAATTACTAAAACTCGTAGAAGCTGTTGGTTATCTTGATTTATTTTTTCTTTAGTTGCCTTTTTTTGAAGTGCTGATTTGTTGGGAAAACCAAAAATGTGTTATTGAACAGTCAGTAAACAGTCCTTATTAGTGATGTGTGGTTGAAATCCTGTGTGTGGTACGCTCTCATCAAATCTGTTGTAAGATTTTAAAGAGGGATTGCATGTTAATATTGGCAAATGAATATTTGTAGTATCTTCTAATATAACTCTTACAGTGAGAGTAAGGAAAACATGAGAAAACTGACCGGAAAATGTTCCTGTAACTTAGCACCAGGAAGAAACCAACCAAGACCAGCTCTGGTATTTGGGGATATGCAAGGAAGGCAAGATACGGAGTATTCCTAGTGAATATCAGGAAAACCATCTTTGCAGTAACGACCAGAAAACCAAGCACAAGTCTCCCAAGGGAGTTGTTAGATCCTTTTGATTAAGACGGTTAAGAACTGACTTAACTAAAATGCCGCAAACAAACGTGCAGCACCCCAGCACTAATAGTGGTGATGGGCATGATGTTTTCAATTTGCTCTCGTGGCTCTCACCAGATGTTTTTATGAAAGCATAGGTACTCTTTTGGTGGACATGCTCAGTGCTGATGGGGCCCTGAAATCCTGTTTAATAAAAGCAGTTTTTTAGGCTTTGAACTCTACCTGATGCGCTGCTGGCTTTGCTGTTAGAAGCCGCTTGATACACAGTTGCCGGTTGCTGTTCTATCATCTCACCTGCTAGGGAAGTTGGGTGAGAGGTGTTCTGCAGGGCTGCCCCAAGGAACAGCCCTCCACAACAATCATTAGCCAGGGCATGCGACACGCCGTTGTTGTCATTTGTGGTTTGGTTTTTTTTGCCCTGATCTTCCAGGATTTAATAGAGAAAGTTGTAATCCTACGCAAAGCTGTGCAGCTCACCCAAGCTGTGGACCCTAATGCCGTGGGGGCCCTTTTGGCCGAGAAGATGAGCCAGTATGCCAACCTCCTGGCTGCCCAAGGCAGCATTGCTGCGGCTTTGACGTTTCTCCCTGCAAACACCAACCAGGTACGAGGCCTTCAGGTTTTTTACTCCCTCTGTCTGCTTGAACAGGTATACTTTGAGCAAAGATCTCTGCATGGTGCAGTTAGCCAGCAGGACTGCCATTTGAAATGCACCTCGGGATGTAATGATCAGGCTGTTTCCCCTCTCCCTGTGTTGGCCTTGCTAAGCTGGCAGAAGTTCACGACCTTGTTCTTCTCCCTCTTCGTTTCACACCCTTGTCCTTGCAGCCATTGTCCCTGCTGCAAGCCAGACACAATGAAACATGTACCATGACCCTTGGTTGATTGTTTTCTTTTGATTTCTCATCTTCCATCAGCTGGTATTTGTTAGACAGGCTGGCTTGGGAATGATGCAGCCCAGGATGGGAGGCAGGCACATGTAAGGCAATTGTGCTGGCCCCGTGTCTCGTGCAGAAAAGACTTATTCCAATCAAATAAAGCAGAGCAGACTTCTGAGAGAGCGCTCATGGGTGTGTGGCCAGTCAGCCTCTTGGTGTGATGGCATCATTGCGTGACAGGCAGCGCAGTTAACCTTCCTTCACTGTCCTTTTCTGATTTCAGCCCAACATCATGCTGTTACGGGACAGGCTTTGTAAAGCCCAAGGGGAACTCCCAGTGGGACAGGAAGCCCACAAGGCACCATATGAGAGACAGCCCATGCCCAAAGGACGAGCTGGCCCTGTGGCTGGACAGATGCAAGGGCGCCAGGCTCCAGCCCAGCAGTATTACCAACAGGTAAATGAGTTTTGGCAGTCAGGAAGGGACACGGTGCTTGAGTTCTGGAGAGTGATGGATGTTGCCTTTCTCTTGAGCTGGGGCTATATGACGTACCTCTACTGAGAGCCTTGTGGTAAAAGTCATTGGTGATGCTTTTCAGTCAGTACACATGCCTCCTTTTACTTCTTGTCTGGAAACAGCCATTAAACACCTTGTCAAGTAGCCTGCTTCTGAAGATCAGGTGTTTTCCCTCTTTGAAAATGTGCTTCAGTGCCAAGAACGTCTGTGTGGGAGAGCACTGCTTTCTGTCATAGTCCCTGATGTCGTCCTTCCCATCCCTGTGGGCCTTGGGCCTTGCTCATGCTGCTCACCAGCCCCTTCTGGGGCTGATTATTTCCACTCCCCAGCTCTGATGTTGGCTACAGAAGTTGCTGAGCAGTGGCAATAGCAAACTGAGGGCACATTTCCACAGTTGTGGGTACAGCCTACTACAGCACCTTCCCAGCATAGGGGACATAGGCAACAGTGGGTGAGACAGGAACGGGAAGGCAGGCCTGGGCTGAGAGTGAGCTGTGCCAGAAGAAACACTCGGTGAGTATGGGACTAATAAGGGACCTGGGGGGTTGTGCAGGGAGGAAGAGGAGAAATGGAGGAGGCAAATGCCCTGATTTTATCTCTAGCCTGAGGACGACACTGCATCAGACCACGTTGATGGTGTTGGCCATCACTGGAGTGTGGTGCAGTGGGCAGCCCTGACTGTGTGCCAGCTCAAAGAGCATCACCAAGTCCCTAATCCCTCAGCACAGCGCTGGAGCTCATCTGGCCCTGCTCTACACAGGGGTTCTGGGCTGGACTTTTCTGAGAGCGGAGCTGTATTAGTGCTGCGAGTGTTCTCCTTACACAGAGGAGATTGGCACAAACAGAGGTACGTCTCTGTCAGTGCTTCCCTTCAGGCACTGCCTGCCAGAAAAATGGGAGCAGGAAGGAAAAAGGCTGAAAAGTGGGGAGGAGTTGGGCTTTGTTCTCTCCCTCTTGATGTCAACAATTGTGCATGTCTTCACCTTCTTTCCAGGATGTTAACAGGGTAGATTTCAGAAGGGACAAAGCCTCCATCCTGTTCATACAAGATTACCTTGCTAACACCATTGCATATGATTTGAAATGCATCAGTGTCAATAATCAACTCTAGTATTCGTTCTTCCCTGTGTCTTTGACCTTCCTCCTTGTAACCAATGACTCGCCTTGAGAAGCAATGCTGCATATTTCCCATTTGGCTGTGAAAAATAGCAGCTGTCCTCTAGATGGCATGATCTTAGTAATGCTTTTTAAACCAGAGTTCCCTCTTTCTCCTACTGTTTCA